CGAGGGATCCGGGGTTGCAATCACTCCTGCCACAAGAGCATTTCTGGAAAAGAGCGGGCGGGCCCATCACGCGGTCACCTTTGCCCAGGTACGCTGTGGTGCAAGACTGTCACTGTTTAGCAAAGACTCAATTATCACTTCCTGACCACTCAACTACATGTGACCTACACCCACACTCACAGGCTCCTTGAGAAGTTAACTTGCAAACGAAACCACACCAAGTGTTCCTCCTGCAGCTCCCACCACCGGACGTGAGGCTAAGAATGCGGGCACAAGCGCTCGACCGCAGATGGGGGGGTCTGTGGCGTAGCCAGCGGGTGGCACACGACTGACTACCCCAGGTCCACGAAAGCCACCCGCCTCCACCAAGTAGCCTGCAGTTCTATCTGAGAGCATTTTAGAGCAGAAAATGGAACAAGTCAGTATGAAGATAGCAACCTGCTCTCCCACCTGGGCCCAGGGCCTCCTAGAATGCCAACTACACTGGTTGCAGAGGGCCCCTTGTGCAGCCGATGCCTTGTCCTAAAATGTTCACGCTGCCTGCAGTCTCCCCTAGCTGAAGGAGGGGTGGCATGACCCCAAGTTCTCTCATTGCTCCACCCCTGCCTTGTGCCAACCAGTGCCACTTTTCTGAAATCAGAAGTGAGTGTGTGTGTGTGTGTGTGTGTGAGAGAGAGAGAGAGAGAGAGAGAGAGAGAGAGAGAGATGAATATCACAGTATTTCAAAACAAAAACCTTTTCCATTGTTGATGTTCTGGAGACTGGCCAGATAAGACTAATAGCTGATTTCATCTGTAAGCTTCAGGAAGGTATCAAGAGCTTTTAAATTGTGCCTCAGCTTCTCACAGTACCTATCTAAAAGAAATAGGCCAAGCCACTTCAAGAAAAGTCATACTCCATATAATCACAGCAATAATTAATCCCCCAAGGAATGTCCCGCAGAACAAGTTGCAACCTGATCACTTAATCCTCCAGGCCCCAGAGGACGGGACACAGCTTCCCTCAGCCTCCTGTGTTCACAAAATTCAGTCTACCTCAGGGAGATACTGGCTCATTTGTTGAACAAATCTACCATCAAAAGCCAGAAAGCGGGGGCTGGCATTCCACAGAGTGTCCAGGCCTCCGCCTGGGACACCCACATCCCATATGGGAGGGCCTGGGTTTCAGTCCTGGCTCCACTCCAGCTCCCTGCTACTGTGCACCCTGGGAGGCAGCAGAGGATGGCTCAAGTCCTTAGGTCCCTGCCACCCCCAGGGGTGACCCAGATTGAGTGCCTGGCTCCTGGCTTTCCCCTGGCCCAGCCCCAGCTGTCAATGGCATCTGGGGAGTGAACCAGCAGATGGGTGCTGTCTGTATGCCTGTGTCTTTCTCTGTGCCTTTCATATTAAAACAGAAGAAGAGAAAAACCAGAAAGCTTTCTGGGCCCACCAAATAAATGGCTGCAGTCTGGAAAGCAAAACGTCTAGGTTCTGGCCCTGGGGTGAGTTTGACAAGCCATGGCCTCTCTGGGCCCTGCTCTCTTGGTGTTTAAAACAAAGCCACGGGGGCCAGCGCCATGGCTCACTTGGCTAATCCTCCGCCTGTGGCGCCGGCATCCCATATGGGCACCGGGTTCTAGTCCCCATTGCTCCTCTTCTAGTCCAGCTCTGTGCTGTGGCCTGGGAGGGCAGTGGAGGATGGCCCAATTGTGTGGGCCCTGCACTCGCATGGGAAACCAGGAAGAAGCTCCTGAATCCTAGCTTCGGATTGGCGTAGGTCCAGCCGTAGCGGCCATTTGGGGAGTGAACCAATGGAAGGAAGACCTTTTTCTCTGTCTCTCTCACTGTCTAACTCTGTCAAATAAATAAAAAATTAAAAAAAAAATAAAGCCACGAAAGTATATGATTCCTAGAATCCCTTCCAGACTGAAAATTCCATAGCAGAAATTAATGATGTGCAACTGAAGACTAGATAAAGAGGTCACAGGACATGTGCACCATGGAATACTACAAAGCAGTAAAAAAATGAAATCCTGTCATTTGCAACAAAATGGATGAAACTGGAAAGCATCATGTGTAGTAAAGTAAGCCAATCCCAAAGGGACAAATACCATATGTTTTCCCTGTCTTTGATAACTAATAGAGCACCTAAAAAGTAATTTATAGAAGTGAAATTGGCACTTCAAGATGCAATGACTTTGAACAGCCCTTTGCCTCGACTGCTAAGGAGCTGGTTTTTTTTTTTTTTCATACAATTTGTTGAACTCTTTACTTAGTATATAGTTAATCATATGCATAAAATTATTTGAAAATAGATCTTAGTAAAAAAATGAGAATGGGAATAAGAGAGGGAGGAGGAAGAGAGGTAGGAGTGTGGGTATGGTGGGAAGAATCACTATATTCCTAAAGTTGTATTTATGAAATGCATGAAGTTTGTATTCCTTAAATAAAATACCTTCAATAAAAGATTTCTGGAAAGGAAATTAATGACATGAAGATTGAGTTAATTTGGTGCATTCTTTTTTCCATCTCGTTGTTGCTTGCTTGCTCGCTGGTAGACTCCCACAGAACCGTGTGTCTGGAGAACCAGCACATATTTCTCCAGGCTGAGAGGCATGTCTTCTTTGTGGGATTTTCCCACAGGGCAACCTTCCCTCTCTTTTCATCTGGCACTAGGAGGTGGGTCTCATTGATTCTTCTTGGCTCGTTAAGAAGAGACAGAAAGAGCCTCTGTTTTGAGAGACTCTTTCCGGATCATTTCCCAATGGTCCTGGAACTTGGCAGGCCGTTTGGCAAAGGTGATGGTGAGAAGGGGGTGTCTGGCAGAGTGGATGAGGTGACTGGCGAAGTGGCCGGGGTTAAGAAAAACACTCATGGAAAAACATCCTGAAGCAAGGGCACAGTGCTCACGGCAGAGGACTTGCATCCCTTGCTGAGATGACGCCAACAAAACCTCCCTCTTTAAAGAGGACATTTACTTAATAGGAAACAAAGGCAAGGGTATCAACAGCAATCGTTTTTCTGAGCCCTGAGCTAAGAAACAGCTGGTCTAATACTGGTCCAATACTCAGGACAGTAGCCACGTCCTGAGAGGTCTTTGAACAATATAAAAGTCAAATTAAATGAGACAAGCATGTATTTTGGAACTAGTCATGAAAACTAACAATTACATTTAAAATTCTAAATTAGTCACCAAATAGGAACTCTGCATTCTGCACACTTCACCCCCAAAGTCAGGTTAGGTCTGAATAAAGCTTTGACGCGAGTAGGTTATTTTTACTAAGTCAGCCCTTCCACACTTCCACCCCCAGAATATCTACAGAAGAATGCGTGAGCGCCAGGGTTGCATCTGGAGGTACCAAGTGCTAATCTGAGTGTCAGTGCTCTCAAAGACTCGTTGAAATCCCTTTGATGTTGGTGGTCATCAGATTTCATAGAAACTTCAGGGGCTGAGCTCTCATCACTCAGCCAGGTGGTTTTGCCTCTGTGTGTGTGTGTGTGTGTGTGTGCGTGCGCGCGCACACGCACGTGTGTACTGTTCTTTTTTTTACTACCCACTGCAACACTTCAGTGACTATTTGTTGAGCACCAAGGACCTTTCTTGTCAACCACGTGGGGTAGGGAGAGCAGCAGGAACAAGTAGATAAGCGTTCAGAACAGGTCAGTGAAGGAAGATTAGTAACGTCCCATCGCTACATCTCTGCAAGCTAAAAACATTTCGGAGTACCTACTGCTGATGTCATTCTATTTATGAATATCGGCAGAATCATTAATGATGGTGCCACCACAAATAAAAAATAATAATACTCTGTTGACCAAGAAATAAGAAAGGCAGACGTCTTTCGAGGCCAGGATGCAGTTCCTGGTTCCTGGCTTCAGCCTGGCCTAGACAGCTGTTGGGGCCTTTTGGGCAGTGATCAGTGGTTGGAAGATATTTCTCTCTCTCTCTCTCTCTCTCTCTCTCTCTCTCTCTCTCTCTGTATTTCTCCCTCTCGTTCTGTCACTCCGCCTTTCAAACAAATAAATCTTTAAAAACAAACAAACAGAAAGAACCATAATCACACTGTTTGGAGCTGGTTGTGTAGAGTTGTTTTATTACAGATCTCTACTGCAGGGGCAGGCATTGTGATGTAGCCAGTTAAGCCTCCACCTGGGGCACCTGCATCCCATATAGGAAGGAGGGCCTGGATTGAGTGCCTGGGAAAGCAATAGATGACGGCTCAACTTCTAGGGCCTCTGCCACCAACGTGGGGGACCCTGGTGGAGTTCCAGTCTCCTGCTTCGGCCTGACTCAGCCCCAGCTGTTGTAGACATTCGGGGAGTGAACTGGCAGATGAAAAATCTTTCTGTCTCCTTCCCTCCCTCTCAGTCACTCTGCTTTTCAAATAAATAAATCTTTGAAAAAAAAAATAGAAGTCATGGCAAAAGAATAAAAGTAGGAAATATTCCCTCAAATTAAAAACAAAACTTCACTGCAAGAAAAAACTTTCATGGTTATGTGAAAAAGGGCTGTTTGACTAATCTGGCTTTAATCCTTTAATTCCGAGTCATCTGTTAGATTTCTCTAATATATCTAAGCAGCTTTGTTGATGTCCTGGGAAGCAAGTACCACATCACTGGACATTAGTTGGTATGCATCTGTTTCCTTCGAGAGATGGGAAACACACTCTTAGAAAAGAGTAAACATTTTTATTTTACTTGTTCAGGAATCAGTTGGGTCTGAGGATACACAGGCATCTGGGAGTAGCCCGAAGAGATAGGAGTGTCGGTGGTCTTTACATTCGCTTTGTGAGATCACTTAGGTCATCTACTCGCCTGGCACAGCAGCTGTCAGGAGGAACCGGTTAGACACCGGCACCTGCCGAGGGTTCTGTGGGCCTCCGGTTTGCAGACAGGGCCTGGGAGGTGCCAGGAGGCAGGTGCTTGGCAAACAGTTTTCCTGGGGCTGCAGAGTCCCTCAGGGAACGGCTGAAAAACGGCCGCCAGCACTCCCCGGGCAGCCTCAGCTAGAAGGCAGTGGGGGCACGACAGGGCCTCTAACATGACAGGCCCCAGGGGATCTGGGACGGACAGTGTCACAAGGGCACCACCTGGAGGGTGGGCAGAGGCCCCCGGGGAGGAGCCACAAATTCCTCCTCCCGGAGCAGCCGCAGCAGGATGTTTTTCTTATTCTTGGGCCAGCTGTAGATGTGCGTGTTCTGAAGCCAGGTGGGCACGTGCTCCTGTGGGAAAGACAAAGGCAGGCACGAAGGTTGTTATGGAGGAAAAACCCAGACCGCACGCAGGCCCCGGGCATCCTGGCTCGCCCTCTGCGGGCGTTCCATCTGGCTTCTGGGAGGGTTTAGCCTGGAAAGCGCTCTGGGCTTCAGGTGCAAGCTGCAGCGCTCCTGATGGAAACCACATGTGCACGGCATTTTCCGCCCGTCTCCCAGGCTACCTGCCCTCTGCGTTTCAACGTGCTTTTCACCACCTCACATGAAAGGGGTAGGACAGGGGTCACACCGAGTGATGCGAATTCCCCTGACAGTGGGGGAGAAGCCTGCCAAGGCTGTGGGCTTAATCCGATTCATCATCCTTTCCCTCCAGCCCTGGGTCTGGCTTGCAGTAGAGGGAACCCAGCAGAACTGTTACCAGGCTTGTGATTCTAGGAAGGCGGGGGGCGGGGGAGTGCAAGTTCAGGCCCCCTCCCCCTCAGGGAACGAGTGTTCTGGCGGGGCAGGCGTTTGGAACAGTGGGTGGGATACTGCTGGGGAACACCACCATTCTGTATCAGAGGTACTGGGTTTGAGTCCCTGCTCTGCTCCCAAAATTCTTGCTTCCTGCGAATGCACACACTGGGAGGCAGCAGGTACCATGGGTCTCTACCGCCCATATGGGAGATCTGGATCCAGTTCCCAATTCCTAGCTTCAGCCTGGTCCAGTCCCAGCAGTTGTAGGCAGATGGGAGCTCTGTCTGTCTCTCTCTCTTTCAAATAAATTAAAAAAAAATGCTTTTTTAAAAGAGGCAGGTAATAAATGAGTAAAATGGAGTGTGTTCAATAGTAATGGAGGAAAATAAAACCGAGCAAGGAGATAGGGAGTCCTGGAGTTTGTAGTTGTAAATGGGATGCTTAGGAGATTGGGCAAAGAGTAAAAAGAGCAGAGGGAGTGAGTTTTGCGGTCGCTTCAGTTCAGGCAGATAGAAGAACCAGTGCAAAGGCCCTGTGGTGGGAGTATGCTGGGTCTATTCCAATGCCACAAGGCCAGAGTGGCTAGAGCAGAGAAAGTGGGACTGAGCAGGGGAGGAAGTTTGGATGGGAGTAGACAGGGTGCATCAGACAGGTCCTCATGGGCCACTGGATGCCTTTGGTTTTTGCTGTGAGCTGAACTCCATTTTAGAGATTAAAAGGAAGTTTAGAAGCAGTACCTACTGTATGTCAGGCCCCAAGCTGGGTACTGAGAATCTCCAAATGAAACAGACACAGTAGCTGCTGAGAGAAGTGTGAAATCTGAGGATGAAAGCAAACTGTAAAAAGACTATTTTCTGGGGCCGGCGCTGTGGTGTAGTGGGTAAAGCCACCGCCTACAGTGCCGGCATCCCATGTGGGTACAGGTTCAAGACCCAGCTACTCCACTTCCGATCCAGCTCTCTGCTGTGGCCTGAGAAAGCAGTGGAAGATGGCCCAAGTCCTTGGGCCCCTGCACCCGCGTGGGAGACCCAGAAGAAGCTCCTGGCTCCTGGCTTCGGATGGGCACAGCTCTGGCTGTTGTGGCCATCTGGGGAGTAAACCAGCAGGTGGAAGACCCCTCTCTCTTTCTCTCTCTCTGTAGCTCTGCCTTTCAAATAAATAAATCAATCTTTAAGAGAGAGACTATTTTCCTGGCAGTGACGTGCTGAGGGGGCCAACGGCATGAGGGTGGGGAGGGGGGAGGCCTGCTCTGAGCTCAGGCCATCAGGTGAATCACCTGGAGGGGACTGTAAACTATAGCACAACCACCGGGAAGTTGGTCTGTTTTCCCTATCGCCACGCTCCAAGTAATTCTAAGCAATTATTCCCAGAGGGTCCCCACCCCCACCCCTGCCAACTGCATACCATTGACTCAAGGTACTATAATTAAGAGTTCTCAAGAGAGGGACAATGAAATACACTGGCATGGGGGTGGAGAAATCTCAGGGGAGGCAGAGAGCTGGGTGGATAAAAGCATAAGCAAGAGTTCACAACGCAGACAAGTTAGGGAAGGGTGCTGCGAGCAGAGGGAAGACAAAGGGCAAACATGCAGAGACCACGTGAGGGCATGCTGGGGTGTCCAGTATGGTCAAATCGTGGAGCACCTGTGCCCCAGGGCACAGGAGAGAAGACTGTGCGAGTGGGCACAGCACTCTCTGAGGGGGCGCCTACGTCACACCAAGAGGGGCGGATGTGAGCCTGGAGGCACAGGAAACCAGCACCCAGTTTTGGAGCTGGAGAGAGACAGATCAGATCAACATTTTGGAGGACCCTCTGTGCAAAAGGTGGCTAATCCAAGGGCACAGCGGAGACGGGAGGCCAGGAGGGAGACTCAGCGGCAATGAGCGCAATGAGACCCTAAGCAAGGGAGCAACGGAAGGTGGAAAGGTGGATTAGTGTACAGGCTGTGCACTGTACAAACCTGGGGGGTCTCAGATACGTGAGACCCGCCCTCCTCCAGGGCAGAGCTTTCCATACAGCCCTTTGCCATGCCCGTCCTCCAAACCTACCCACAGACCCTGGTGCGCAAACCTTCACATGAACCACAGCCAAGTGCACTTTGGTTACTCTGGAGATTCGACTCCGTCATTCATGACTTGGGAGAACTGAAGTGTACGCAGCAAATACCTTCATAAACAGCCAGCAAAAAACGCCCACGGCTTCACTGCTCTGTCCAAGAGATAGGGAGCACCCAACGAATGGGCTCTTTCTCTTTGTGAGTTAAAACACAAACTACTTCTTTGTGGGCAGCGGTTGCTTGAGCAGTCAGGGCGGCCACGATCCCATCAGATAATACTTTCAAACCTTTCCGATTTGAGCTACTGAACCGAGTGGTACAACTTGTTGATCTTTCTGGCAACGCTGTTATCGCTAAAGGCTTGACAAAAGGTAGACAAGGTTTTCCACGTAAAATCCCAGGTGACAGACGTAGGCCAAAGACCGAATTATATGGGTTTTGTTTGTTTCTTTGTTTACCTTCTTTGCATTTGGGAAGAGCACAGGGATGAATCTGAAGTTCATGCTTCCTTGTTTTATGAACTCAATCTGCATCTGAAACCAGACAAATACGAAGGTTGAATTTCAGGACTGAGGACGCGCAGTCAATGATACCCAGGGTCATACCAGCCCACACACTATTTTCATCCTGGTTTCCTTATTTGGGTGTCACATATTTACAATAGTAAGCCCTCCCTCTTGTGCATCTCTACCTTTTGCTCATTTATGGCCTACTAAAGTGATTGCACCAAGCCCTTGGATCTGCAGGATTCGCATGCCCTCGAAGGTGTGCTAGAGTTGGCTGCAATCAGCTTGGGGGGGGCACTCTTCCCAATTCTGTGTTCAAGGACTTCATATTAATAGCCTGAAATTGGGGTTCAGTGCTGTGGCCTAGCGGGTTAAGCTGCAGTGCCAGCATCCATATGGGTGCTGGTTCGAGTCCCGGCTGCTCCACTTCCGATCCAGCTCTCTGCTGTGGCCATGGAAAGCGGTGGAGGATGGCTCAAGTGCTTTGGCCCCTGCACCTGCGTGGGAGACCTGGAAGAAGCTCCTGGCTCCTGGTTCCTGGCTTCGGATCGGTGCAGCTTTGGCTGTTGTGGCCATCTGGGGAGTGAACCAGCAGATGGAAGACCTCTCTCTCTCTGTCTCTCTCTGCCTCTCTCTGCCTAACTCTTTCAAATAAAAATAAACAAATAGTTAAAAAAAAAAAAGAAACTGGCCATGGTAACAGCATTTATACCATGGGAATAAATGTTACAAATCAAGATTTTTTTTTTTAATTCAAGAGACAGAGAGAGTGAGAGCAAGAGTGAAAGAGAGAGGCCGGCGCCGCGGCTCAATAGGCAAGTCCTCCACCTAGCGGCGCCGGCACACTGGGTTCTAGTCCCGGTCGGGGTGCCAGATTCTTTCCCGGTTGCCCCTCTTCCAGGCCAGCTCTCTGCTGTGGCCCGGGAAGGCAGTGGAGGATGGCCCAGGTGCTTGGGCCCTGCACCCCATGGGAGACCAGGAGAAGCACCTGGCTCCTGCCTTCGGATCAGCGTGGTGCGCTGGCCTCAGCGTGCCGGCCGCGGCGGCCATTGGAGGGTAAACCAACGGCAAAGGAGGACCTTTCTCTCTGTCTCTCTCTCTCACTGTCCACTCTGCCTGTCAAAAAAAAAAAAAAAAAAAAGTGAAAGAGAGAGGAGAGAGAGACAGCCAGACAGACAACTGGTTCATTCCCCAAATGCCCACATCCACATGGCTGGGGCTGGGCTGGAGCTGAAGCCAGAAACTAAGACAGAATCTAAATCTCCCATGTTGGTGGCAAGGACCTAACTACTCAAGCCATTAACTACTACTCAGGCCTCCCCAGGTCTGAACTGGCAGGAAGTTGGAATCAGGAGCTGGTGCCAGGAATCAAATTCATGCACTCTAATGTGGGCTACAGGTGTCTCAACTACTAGGCCAAACACCCTCAAATCTGGACTTTTATTTTTATGTTTTGGATTGGCAGTTGTGCAGAACACCGGTGAGACAGTACCTATTCTCTCAAAGCCAGCAGCAGCGAGCAGGAAGACAGGTAAATTACCAGCCACGGTGTGGCATGATGAGCATGAACAGTTGCTTTGGGAGCCCAGATAGGGGCCATCCAATCTGTAGCAGGGATTTCTAGAGCAGTTTCAACAGAGGGGTCATTTGGATAATGAAAGAGCGGACTTGGGGCAAGTAGGGGGAACAGAGCAGAAGGGAAGGATCTTCTCAGGGAAGGGAACAGTATAAGTGAATACCAACTGGGATCGGCTGGTGACCCACAGCAGCCAGTCAAGGGCAGGCCGGGCAGGGAGGCAGGGAGCCCCCCTGTGAATCGCTCCATGTGCCAAGTTTCTAGGTTCCCCACTGCCCTTCCAATTTGCACTGCCACTGTGGTGGCCCAAGAAGTCTTAGCTGCCAAGAACTCTATCAAAATCAGAATTTTCAATATCAGGGGAGTTAGTGCCTCCCAAATCCTGCGACCAGCACAAAGCTTTCAGTCATCTGGAGACAAGGAGAAGAGGAATGATGTGTTCCCAGCGATTTCATCTCCCCATTGATTTTTATAACTGAGAAGTCTTCACTGTGCATGAGAATCAAAGCAGAAAAGTGTCAGTGGCGACAACTGGTTATTGAAATCACCATAGAAACTCCTCGTAAACACACAGCCTCACATACTGGCAGGCACACACGCACCATCACATTTACAGCACACACAAATCCTCCACGAGGCTTCTCAGAACCAGCTCCCTTCAAACATCAGAAGACAGCACCAAAAACGTGTTTTCAAGTGATCCAAGGAACTGGGCCACAAAAGGACCGAGCCAACCACAGAGCAGACGGTAAACCCATCAGAGAAGCAGCACAGTGTTCATAAGCCAAGAGTGACCTGGGTTTGGGTTCTCACTTCTAGGCCACCGTGTGCTGGACAGCTGGTTTGGCTGCTGGGCTACCCCGAGTGTTGAGGGATCGGCCGGCAGTAGCGCATTTTAATGATGCCTCATTCTTCCAGCTGCTGGCTTTCTGTGAAGCAGTTTGCTCCACGATGCAATTACTCCTGGGTATCTCTTCGCACTGTCACAGTCATGTTCTTACTGTCTCAGGGTTTTCTGTGGCCTGGAGGGGCAGCAAGTCAGCCGGGGGTGGGGGCAAGAAAGAGCTTCTGTACTTAGCCTCTTCAACTCCTTCAGGGGATAAGGAAGGGCCCAAGACATCATTACCCAGGAAGCCAAGCTTGGAGACAATCTGATCACAGCTGGCTGCGCTAGGCAAGCTCTGAGGCCGAGCTGTGTGCCACTGCCTGGCTGTGCAATGCACCCGCAGAGCTGCACAGTACCCTCAGGAACGGCAGGGGCCTCGAGCCCTCCCGTGCACCAGCTGTCGGGACCTGGGATTGGCAGGGATGCAGACAGGACACAGGTACTCTGGGGCCATACCGACATGGACAAGCCAGCTAAGGGGTGGCATCTCCCAGAGCAGCCCCAAGACCTGTTTACCTCCAAAAGTGGGGCCTTCTCTGGGCCCTCGCCATGGCTGTCAGGCTAGGGGAGGCCAGAGCAGGAGGCAGAATTCTCTCCTGCTTCCTTAGCCTTAACTTCGCCACTTGGCCTCCGTTTTACTTTGGGTTGGTTTTGGGCTCAAATGAGTGGTCTGTACTCAGTGGATGAAGAGAGAGAGAGAGAGAGAGAGGGGGAAGGAGAGAGAGAGATAGAGAGACCCTGAAGATTCTGATGGAGAACACCCACTGCCCTAGCCTGCCCTATTCCTGTGTTCCTGACACACAGCACAGTCCTGGGGGGGTGGTCACCTGCACATCCCCCCAGGGTAAAGCTGCATGTCCCAAGGTTGCCCACTCACTCCATCTGGGCCACTTCCGCTCCACGCCCATCTCCCGGTCTCAGCCAGTGATCCCTCCCACCCATTCCAGGAGCCCTCCCCCACCGCTGCACATCAGGGCTGAAATGGATCTCACGAGCTGTGGTCCTGTGATTTTGCCCAAGCCTTTTTAAAATGTCAGAATCCTTGGTAAACAAACAAGCCTGAGAAAGGCAAACCAGCTCTGGCTGAGGGGAGGAAGGGAGGCCCAGAGCCAGGACCCCTGCCCCAGCACGTACAGGCACCCATCAGGACAGTTTTGACAGCCACAGGTCTGGCAGAAACTGTGTCCACAGCACCCATGATCAGGCGGAGCGAGTCTAATCTCCACATTTCTCCCACGGGGTTTCAGTGGTGCAGGCCCCATAGTCCAGGTCCGGCAGTGGACAGTTCCCCATGTACCATGAGCAAAGAATGGCCCCTTCCCTTGATTAAACCCCCGACATGTGCCAGACACGTCCCACGTGTCATTCCACGTAGTGACCCATTCCGCGGGGTGCTGTGGCACAGAGAGCTGGAAACAGCTGGGGCACAGTCACACGCCCTGTACAGAAGGAAGCCAAATTTGAGCCCAGCCCTGCCTGGCACAACGGCACATGCTCTTCACTACCCCCACCCCCGACCTCACGGAGAAGGCAGGGGACAGAATGTGACACGGCCACAGGAGCCCCCCTCTCCTCACGACGGCCCTGCCGTCCACCCTGCTGGGACTTCACATTGGTTAGCCAACAACCAAACCAGCAAACACTGCTTCCCAGCATCTGGGATCTCAAGCTGTCACAGGCTGATCTCCTCCTGTTATTGATAGGAACACTGAACCTTGGAGATGTGGTGACTGGCACGTGGTCCCATAGGTAGACAGAGCCACCACTGACATCCCCCTTGATGGGGGCGGGGTCCTTCAGCAGGCATCACGCCGCCTTCAGTTGGTCCCCAGTGAAGAGCGAGTGCCCAGGGCCCAGGGCCAGTGAGGTGCCGTGTCCCCTCCCCACTCACCATGCGATGGATGTACTTAGTATGTAAGCCATGCTCATCCTCGTCCAGCTGCGACTCAGCGCCTTCCACATCCTGTTTGTATTTGGGGCTGATTGCCACGATTATCATCACTGTCTTCTGTTAATGAGAAGGGGGGGAACATGTTTATGGAAGTGGAAAGTGTGGTCCATTTGGTGAAGGCAGGCTGGACAGCGGCCAGCAGGGCTGCAAGCGCTCACGGACACCCTCCCAGATGGAGGGTCGGGCGCCCCCTGCGTGGAAAGTGACAGGCACGCAGCCGCTCGGCTTCTCCCCTCTGCCTCCCCGTCCCCCTCCACCGCGCAGGGCTACAGATGTGCCTCGCCCACCATTTCCCACAAGCTGCGTTAGCACACTGGCTAATGAGAGCCTGAATCATTAAGTGAGTCTGCACCCGGGCAGAAAGGCGCTGAAATCCAGCCCTGCCTCCCGCCCTGGCCGCAGCTGGAGCCGGGCTGTCAGGCGCTACCCCGGGCCACCGGTCCTGCCTGGCCTGCGTGGGCACTGGCGCGCGCGGGGCGTCAGCCGCGGACCCTCGGGCACAAAGCCAACATCGGGCTGCAGACAAAAGGAGGAGCAGCCACAGGCCCCCCCCCCCCGCCCCCACTGGTGGACACGGACACGCCGGCAGCAATCAATTTCTATCTTGTTACAGCACAAAGTGTCCCGGTGGCCGGTATGGATTCTGTCAGTGGAAAACAAATCATGGAGGGGCGGCAAGGGGGTGCCTCGGGGGCCAAGTGCTCTCTGGCCCCATCCTACAAAACACGTGGGGTGGCCTCGGATTAAATTGCATTCTGTCGCTCCCTCCCCACTCCCACCTTCATTTCCTCCTTTCCTATTCTGGTCACAAAAAAAAAAAAAAAAAAAAAAAAATTTGTTTGCTCTGATTGTTATCAACCACCTGTGTCTGGTTTGACTGTAATTTCCTGCCTGTGCCTGTCCAGGAGGGCAACCCCATCCTTCCTCTCCACGTCCGAGGGAGGAGCTGGGCTTCAGACGCAGGTGGGCGTGCCAGCGCTGCTTTCGTAAAAATAACTTCACGAGCCATTGTCTTGCTGCAGAGTCTGAGCATGCACTTACATCCCTTAGGTAGCGCTCCATCCACTTAATGATATCGATGCCTCGGATTCTGTCCTCAAATATGTCGATCTGCAAGGCAGAGAAGGGGGAGGTGGTCCTTGGTGAAAAGCTCTCTGGAGGTGCAGAGCGCCTACTCCAAACCCACACAGCAGTGCTTTGTGCAGCGGGAGCACCAAAGTCGACAAAACAAAAGTAGAGTGCTCTTCAAATAGTCCCGATTTCCACGCTGTAATTCATCACTAGGATGCAGTGGTACCTAGAAAAATGTTTCTGACGCTCTAGGTAGTTGCTTTAAAAAAATCTGAGGGACCCAGGACACCACCACATTGGACGGAAGCCAGCCATATCCATACAGTTTTAGACGTGTATCTAGAATTTGAAAATTCGAAAGGCAAGCCTACTTCTGGAACGTTCAGTGGATGTGTGGTACACAAGAACTGGGACACAGCTGCCCTGCTCACTTGCATGAGTTAGGTCATTACTAAGGTATTATGTCCAGTTTCCATCTACGCGTTTCAAAACGATTGCGTGAAACTTGGAGCAGATCCAAGCAACAGTCACAGAAACAATTACTGAGAAGGCAAGGAAAAGGTTTATGATGAAAGTTAAGAAGTACAGCTCTTGGGCCTTGAAAAGACTGATATTTAATATCAGTCTTCAAGTCTTTGGAAGGATATACAAAGAGGGAAAAATAACTCACTCTCTGCTTTATAGAAGACCAAATCAGAAGGTCTTTCTTGGGCTCGGGTGTGTACTGCAGCACAGACACTATGTGAGTGTGTGTGGGTGGGTGTGTGTATGTGCATGAGTGTAGAAGTGTATGTGTGTGTGTACAGGCACTCTTGATTGGAAGGGGTATCACACACTGGAATGGGTGGCTCAGGGAGAATGTTCTCTGGGAGATGTCACTTGGTTCAGCCACACTGCTCCCAAATTAATTGTCCTAAAATGTCACTCTGCTGCTGAGGACAGATGGAGTCGAGTGACAGCAATTCAGCAAACTTTCTGTGCCACCTATGATCTCTTTCCCCACGTGCCCTGTCTACTCCCTCATTAGCACAGCTTAGGCCTCCCTGCCTTGGGAGTTCTTTCCCCACAGTGACCTCCTCCTCCTCTTGCTCATGTCACCTAACTGTGCCCCTTCAGGTTCACAGCGGTACTGGACAGCTAACACATTATTGTGACATTCTTCCATGTACTAAGTGTCTCATTTATGTCTACCTTGTCTCCTCAGTCTGACTGCAGGCTTCTTATGAAAAAGATACCTTGAGCTCCTGAACTATCAAATAAGTACAGGACCAACATGAGTTTGAAGGGTGCCTCTTTAATGATGGAACATTGTTGGTTTGGATAACTCCGGTTGTAAAATGTGTGGCGGCCAATGGCTGCATTAGCCATCCTGGGGCAGCTTCTGCAGCTCTCCGTGGCTGTGTGCATACCCCAGTTCTGTTATATGGGAGAGGAAAAATACAGGGCCAGAATGGCGAAGATTCGGTCAGCTTGGGTTCTGCCCTTGGCTCTGGCACACCCACCTGCGTGACTTTGGAAATGTCCATGAAATTCCATCCTATTATCTTCGTTTGTAACATGTGGCTAATAAACCTCCTTTCGGGGTGAGGATTAATGTCCTACTGCCAGGTGTGGGATAAGCACTTGGTCTACAGTAACTATTATCATCGCAGCATCTAAACTATCCCCTGCTGCCGAGGTGGACAGGGTGGGAGGCGCAGTGTGCAGGACACCTTCCATCTTTCTCTCTCTCCATAGTTCATGTCATCACAGTTGCTCTGCTCACAGCCACCAAAAGGAGCTGAATTGTGTCCCTCCAATTCCTCGGCTGAAGCCCCCATCTCCAGTCCCTCAAAATGTGACTGCGACGCCATATGGGTGGGCCCTAAAACCCGGCGGGTCAGGAGCTGGAGACGCAGTCACATGAGCACACAAAGGAGACCCCATGTAAAGACAGGGGGAGAACACAGCTGTCTACAAGGCACAGAGTGAGGCCTCAGGATGAACCCAACCCTACTTAAATGCTTCCAGAACTGAGTAACTGGTGTGCGCTGGCAGCCCTCGCAGGCTCCAGGAGCCATTGCTCTCCCGCCTCTGTAGCTGCAGGGGCAGTGACAACTCCCCTGCTCCCACTAGAGCCCCGCGGATTCCCTGAAACCTGCCCAGCTCTCCGTGCCAGTCCCTGCATTAAGCTCCCCCGTAAGTCACCCACCAAGAGCTTCATTCCACTAAGGGGCTCTCGATGTTGTCAGGAGTAGCTTAGCTGGATAGGGCTGGGGCTCCCAGACTGCGGGGCGGTTCCTACTGCACCCTGAGGTTTCAGAGTGATGAGGGGCGAGGACAGATTTGAGTTCTGCCCAAACAGCCCTGATCGTTAAGCTAAACAAAGCTTGGGCTCTTCTCGGGGGAAATCAGTATTGCTTATTTGGAAAATGATGAAAAGTAAGATCTTTACAGAAAGCTTGGCCTTATGTCTTACAATTTGATTTTATGTCATGGCTACCATAGTGCTTTCTTATTCCAGGAATGAGAAAGTGAAATATCGGTCTGTATATAGTCAGGAGGTTGGGTTGTATAAATTGCATCTTTTTTAAGAAAAGCTTTCAGATACCACTATTTTTTTAAAAATTATTAAAGAACAGGGGCTGGGGCCAGCGTTGTGGCATAGTGGGTAAAGCCGCCGCTGCCTGCAGTGTCAGCATCCCATATGGGTGCCGGTTCGAGTCCTGGCTGTTCCATTTCCCATCTAGCTCTCTGCTATGGCCTGGGAAAGCAGCAGAAGATGGCCCAAGCCCTTGGGCCCCTGCACCAGCATGGGAGACCTGGAAGAAGCTCCTGGCTCTTGGCTTTGGATCGGCGCAGCTCTGGCCATTGTGGCCATTTGGGGAGTGAACCAGTGGATGGAATCTCTCTCTCTGCCTCTGCTTCTCTGTAACTCTGCTTTTCAAATAAATAAATCTTAAATAAATACTTAAAATAAAAATGGAAGGAAGCAAGGAAGGAAGGAAGGAAGGAAGAAAAGGGGCTGGCATTGTGGCTTGGCAGGGTGGACCACTGCCAGTGCAATGCTAGCATCCCACATGGGTGCAGATTTGAGTCCCAGCTGCTCCAGTTCCAGCCCAGCTCCCTACTAATGTGCCTGGGAAAGCAGTGGAAGATGGCCTAAGTCCTTAGGACCCTTCCATCCCTGTGGACGTCCCGAATGGACTTCCAGGCCCCTGGCTTCCGCCTGGCCCAGTCCCAGCTATTGTGGCATCTGGAAAATGAACCAGTGGATGGAAGATCTCTCTCTCTCTCTATGGCTCTCTTTCCCTGTCCCTCTCCTTCTCCCTCCCTCTCTGTAACTCTGCCTTTTAAATAAATAAGGAAACCTTTTTAAAAATTATTAATCAAGAACGCTTCCAATAGAACTTCCAGTTAAACAATGCTAACTGACCTTGGAAACTGATATTTAGTTGCCAAGTGTGCTTTATCCTTCCACATTCCTAGTCGTAGGTATTTTTCTCAAGTTTTTCACTACTCTGTAGAACTCACTGTCCCTAAATACCTAGAAGAGGCCTCGGAGAAGGGAAAGGAGTGATGTCATCATTTGAGAAAAGCCAGTCCTCTGAGAAGTGTCCTGCGGTATTTTATTTATCCTAAAGAAAAACTCGCAAGGCGGTAAGCTGTGCTGTTTCAAGGGGCTGCAGGGGGATGGAAGGAGAAAGGGCCACGACCACCGTGAATTCACAGGGCTAGGTCATGGCAGCCTCGCCTTGATCTAGACCAGACCAGCTGAAACCCTGGCCTTGTCCTCCCTGTCCTGAAACGTCTCTGGGGCACAGAGATGTGGAAGGGCAGCTGTGAACCTGGGGGACCCAGGCTGCCGCGTTTAAAATTCATGATCCACAGCACAAGGAGGGAGCTTGTTAAATTAAACAAGTGACTGTGGTGAAGCCTGCAGCTGCGTGCATCAGAGGAAGCACAACAAAGTGGGCATGCAAGGAGAGAGAAGGCAAAGGCAGGGGCCAGCCTTACGGCACAGTGGGTTAAACCACTGCCGCGACACCAGCATCCCGCGTGGGCGCCGGTTCTTGTCCCGGCTGCTCCACTTCCGATCCAGCTCGCTTCTAATGACCTAGGAAAAACAGCGGAAGATGGGCCAAGTGCTTAGGCCCTGGCCACCCATGTGAGGGACCTGGATGAAACCCCTGGCTCCTGGCCTCGGTCTGGCGGTGGATGGAAGATCTCTATCATCTCTCTTGGTAACTCTGGCTTTCAAATAAATAAAAAAAAATCTTAAAAACAACAACAAAGAAAAGGCAAAGGCACCAAGTGTAGCAAGAGCCTGCCTTTTCTCAGGCCAGGGCCAGCTGCTTGTGTGGTCACCATTAGCACTATTCTTGCTGTTTGAGGGGCCTCGGGGGCACGCAGGATAGCACAGGGGGGAAAAACACTGCAGACATTGGGTGGTTTAAAATCTAGCAAGTAATTACCAGACGCCATGAACATTTAGCTCATAATCACATAAATCAAATGCAATCATTTAAAATATCAACAGCTATTTGTAGTTCTTGTGGGTTTCTTTCCACCGTTCTCGCTTTTAAATGTTGACTTTTCTCGTTGCACAAAATACTTACTGCAGTTTGGAAGCCATTGCCCAAGAGAAAGTTCACGAATTTCACCACCTCCATGGCTGTGTCCATAGAATATGTGATAAAGACTTTCCCTAGGAGAAATATTCCACATGTATTAGAAACTAGGCGAGTGCTTCTATTCTGAACACTTCTGAATTATCCACATGCCTTTTTGCTCTTCTAGAGTTAATACAGGAATCTTTGGAGACAGGGTGGTCCCACAGCTGGTACTTGCTGTGGGGGTAGGCTGATGTCCCCAGGGGATCACACTGCAGCCTGCTCAGGGTCAATGGAAACCAAAGGACCACAGGAGGGTCCTGGCAGGCCCAGGCAGCTCTAGCAGGCCTTCAGAAAGACCACCAGAGGCATTAACAAAAAACCCCCACCACCCAGAACCCGCAGGTCCCTGAGCGCAGGCTGCCTTCTGGTTTCTTAGAGACACTTGGCACAGCGCCCAAGGAGTCTCACAACAGACTGGGAAGCCAACCCGCTAAGGGGCCACCCAGGCAGTGTCCTCTTTTGATCTCCCACTGCTCTGTGCTGCCCTGAACTCTGGCCTGACAAGAGCAAGTAGGGGGAGAATGAGCGTGCGTGTGCACACACACACACACAGACACACAGACACACACATACCTCCTACTTTGGGAGGAAGGCCAGGAAGTGGGAGTTGACTAAAAACATAGCTCAGAAATGTCGGTAAAAACTCCAGTGCTGGAAGGAGCCCCGTGGCTCACACACTCCTTCACCGAGCCCTAAGCCCGCTTAGAGCTGGGGACGGCACAGTGGGGACCGGCTGGACCCAGTCAGGACCACAACCAGTGTTTCCTCAGGCTAACGTCTTAGGGGAAGACTGTGCACAACACACGAATAATCTCTGTGTGTGGGACCAGTTACATGGCAGGAATCCCCTGGGGCAGACAGGGGAGAGAAAAATAGGCATCTGTGTGTTCATCTGAGCGCGGGGCTTCGCCTCTTGTGTCTTGGAGCCCCAACTCCCATAGATGTGTGTGTGTGTGTGTGTGTGTGTGTGTGTGGATCACATTCACTCATTTAAGCAGCAAGGCATAGGGATGGTGTTCGATTCTTCTTCCCCCTAACACTCCTCTGATTCCTACTCAAGTGATTCGAGGACTCCCTTTATGGAGTATGATGAGACGTGCGTGATCCACGGACTGACAGCAGGGCTGTTTCCTGTGCGGGGCAGCACCTGCTCTCCAGAAATGCTCAGAATTAAAATGCAGAAGGTGTTAAGATGCTAAGAAACATTTTTGGCATGAAGGCAACAACGGTTCCTTGCCATGGAAACCTTTCAGAGTTGTAACTGACTGCAGATTACGATTCCCCAAAAGGAGCTGACAAAGGCAAAGGGCTTCAGAGCCACCCAGATTTGACAAGGGCTTATTAGAAGCCCCTGAGCTTTGGGGCCACCACTGTGGCAGAAAGGGTTAAACTGCCACCTGGGATGCTGGCATCCCATATGGGCACCAGTTCAAGTACTGCCTGCTCCACTTCTGATCCAGCTGCTTGCTAACGCACCTGGGAAAGATGGTCCAAGTGCTTGGACCCCTGCCACTCACTTGAGAGACCCAGATGGGGTTCCAGGTTCCTGGCTTTAGCCTGGCCCAGCCCCAGCTGTTGTGGCCATTTGGGGAATGAACCAGCAGATGGAAGATCTCTCTCTCTCTCTCTCTCTCTCTCTCTCAGTAACCTTGCCTTTCAAACAGATAGATCTTTAAAAAAAATCTGAGCTTCTCTAGCAAGCACAACTGATAATAGTTTCACAAGTGCTGTTTCTTAAGATTTCTGGAACGAACTCTCCTGACTGACCTTAATCTGAGAACATTTTGGTGATATTTCAACATTTCTGGTTCTGGCAGCAAAACGTGGAAAAAGAATCATCACCTGACACAGCCAAATGTTTCCTTAAATAAAAGCCTTAGTTGGCTTGTGGTTGTGAAGCAGTATGGAGACTGCGAGGCCGATTTTTTTTCCAAACAAGATTGCTCATTCCTACAGGAAATGACCTCGTTCTTGACGGCTGCTGCTGGTTTACGGTGAGACACCAGGTCCGTGTCCAATACCCCATGGACGGCCAATCAATTTACCCAGGGACTAGTCCGCCCCAGAGCATCATTTAGCAGAGAGCAAAAGCGTTGGCGTTATTTGTTGGAGTATGTGTTCAGGAAAATCTAGCGGTGAGCAGTGTGTGAGCATTTCTGGAGGTGTCAGATTCACTGAAAACATTCCTACAACACGCGGGTTACTCTCTAAGCAAGAAGCAAAGAAGGACATTTTCTTTCCCCGTGTCTATGAGCAAGCTCTGAGGTCAGAGTCGACAAGACTGACAAGCAGAAGGCGAAAACAGCATTGCAAACAACTTACGCAACTCTTCTGGCAAATTGCTTGTCCTCAGAGTGCCTCTGGCTGCAGTGTTGCTGGGGCGTCGAGGTACAGCAGCTGGGGACAGAGCCTGGGCACGCTCCGAGGACTCCTCCAGAAGCCCGGCCCTATTGGGCAGCTGGGGGTTCGGCTGGTCCCTGCGGAGGAACACGTTTCAAGGAAATGTTCATTCTGCATGGAGGCAAACCTTGAGGGGCGCTAAGGCTCTAAGAACCATGGGAAGGGATCAGCGGAAGATCGCTCTCCTCTGCCTCCATTGCTTAGCCAAGACAGAAAGAAGAGGGGCACCCCAGGGAGCCTAAATCAACAGCAGTTAAGCTGGCCTTGAGCTCCTTGTGGCGAGGGGGAAGCAGTTCTGATTTCTCCATTCAAGGACTAGTTGGGAAACTAAGTCTCATTCCCAAGGCACACAGGTCACCCACAACACACGGACAGCTGATGTTAAGGGCATTCAAATAAAAAGAGGTACCTTCTAGCTCATGATGGGTAACATTCCATTATGTATCAAAAGGTGAAAGAGGCCATGAAGATTTAAAAGGACCCCTGCTGTTAATATATGAATGAAAACCTTTGCAACACGGCTTCTGTGTGATGATGTTGGCTGCCAGCACTGCCACAAACGTTGTGCTGAGATGAACCGTCAGGAGGAGGGTGTGGGAGGCAGAAGGGAAGGAGAACGTGGCTTCCATTGATAAGCACAGTCATGAGGTCACAGGTGTTCAGGGCAGGGCCTGGGCACCCACTTTTTCCAGGGCAGATCCAGCCATTGCCAAGGATGTGGTGGTGTTGACTTTGATTCCCACCTTCCTCGCTGCACCCTTGGTTGTGGGGGTGGAGCACGGGGTGGTCCTATTCTATAGTGTTGCTCAAGTCCAACTAACGCTTGCTTCTCCAACCTCCAACAATTTTGTAAGCACTCATTTCCCTGTATTAACTCCCCTTCTGCTTAAATAGCAGGAGCTGCTCCTGTTTTCTCTGATTGAATCCTAACTTGTAGCGGGACCAAAACTGTAATTCTTAGGCTTTATTCCATTAAAAAAAAAAAAAAAAAAAACTCTGAAACTTATGACCACACGTTAAGATTTTAAAAATCTAGGTAGGGGTGTTTATTTCTCTCTTGGAAGCCCCCCTCCATGCCTTTGACTCTAATAAAAATCTAGGTAGAGCCTGCAGCCCATATTGGAGTGCCTGGATTAGATTCCTGGCTCCAACTCCTGACTCCAGGTTCCTTATCATGTACACTCTGGAACACAGTGGTGATGGCTCATCACCTGCCACCCACATGGGAGACATGGATTGAGTTCCCTGTTCCTGGCTTCAGCCTGACCTGACACTGGCTGTTGGTATCTGGAGAGTGAGACCAGCAGATGGGAGCATGTGCTCTCTCTGTCTCTGTGTCTCTGTCTCTCATAAATAAATAAATAAGGGCCAGCACTGTGGTGGAGCGTGTTAAGCTGCCATTCACAGCACCAGCATCCCATCTGGGTGCCAGTTTGAGTCCTGGCTGCCCCACTTCCAATCCAGCTCCCAGCTAAGGCACCTGGGAAAGCAGCAGATGACCGAAGTACTTGGGCCTCTGCACCCACGTGGGAGATGTGGAGCAAGTTCCTGGCTCCTGGCTTCGAATGAGCACAGCTCCAGCCGATGCGGCTATTCGGGGAGTGAACCAGCAGATGGAAGATCACTTGTTCTTTCTGTCTCTACCTCTCTCTGTAACTCCGCCTTTCAAATAAAATCTTTAAATAAATAAATAATCTAGGTTGTGAGAACATGGATTGGTTTTATTTGTTGTATATTTGAGATTGTTTCATATAACTTTGAAAAGTTTTGATTATAAAATCCATGTGCCCCAGTTTTGTAGATTATTGCATATGCTTTCACATTTCTTACCCAAAAGAATAATAAAAACTTCTGAAAGCCTTATGTAACAGGATATAAAATAAACAGAATTTCAACTATTTTCAACTATATTTCCAAAATATGAATGTTTAAGATCATTTTTATTATTTTAGACAAAATAACTCCTATAAAATATGCTTTCATCTAATGCAGATCCACACCTTATTAAATTATTTTTTACCCAAAGTTGCTTAGTTGTTATAAAAGGTGATTTCTCATTTAATAGAGAAATGTTAATGCCTTGATCATATTCAAAAACTTCCATAGAAAGCGATATCATAGAGATTAATGACAGAGTAAACATTCTGTATTAAGATTCTCTTTTAAATTATCAGAAAAGGGAGAATTAGCTTCTTTACCTGAACTCATTTTTCATTATCCTAAAATGATGAAAGAAATCAAGACGGCCACAGCAGGCTTAAATTGTTGCTATGAAACCAATTACTCTGCTCTGTCTTTGCAATTCTTCTGTAAATCTAAAACTATTTCAAAATAAAAGTTTATTTGAAAAATTGCTTTTGCCTTCCCTATCAACACCAAACTTACTTCCTAAAGATGCTTAAATGTTGTTTGTGTTCTGGAGTTTTAGATATTTCTTCTGTAAGAGTCCTTATCCTACTGTAAAATCACATTTTGGGTAATCCCAGATGTTAGACCCCAGGTATTTCTGTTTTGTCTGTTAATCTGTAGACTTTCCAGTAAATGGGGGACCAGGCATGTACTTTATCTGCCACTGATAATAAAGTGGGCTTTATTTTTATTTTTTCAATAACATTTTTGAGCTAATGACCAATTTCTGCGCTTCAGAAAAAATCTACTTTTATATGGCCTCCAGATATCATTCTATTCTATGAAAACAGAGAGCAGTCTTACTCTGAGTGGTATATGAGCAAAAGCAAACATTTCATGTGTTTCCTTTCCAATTTTGTCATAAACTAGGAAGCTCTATTTGCGTGACTTTTCCCTGGTTTTAGATACATCAGTTAAGGGAAAGAACTCAGGAAGAGAGCAAATAAGGAAAGAACTGATTAAAGGGTGCTATGGTTTGAGTATGTCCCCCAAGGGTTCAGGTGTTGGGAGCCTGGTCCTCAATGTGGCGGTGTTGGGAGGTGGTGTGGAACCTTTAAGAGGCGGGGCCTTATGGGGGTGGGGCACAGAGTTGATTCTCCTGAGAGGGTTGTTGGAAAAGAGCAAGCCTGGCCCCTCCCTGTCCCTGGCCACCTGTCCTGCCAGGAGCTCTCTCCCTCTTGCATGCGCTTCCACTGTGACGCCATTTGCCATGATGTGACACAGTCGAGGAAGGCTCAACAAGGGATAAATGGGTGGGGTCAGCTGATCCCAAACCTCCAGCCTAAAAACCTGTGGGCAAAATACAGGCATGTCTCGATTCCAACATTTTTTTCTTTTTTGAATCAAAATACACTAATCTTTTAAGTCCATTTTTTACAAACCTTTTCTTTAGAATTATGTCCTGAGATCATATCAGCTACTTTTATTTTTCACTTTATTTTTAAAAATTTACTTGAGAGGGAGAGAGACCGATATAGAGACAAAGGGAGCTCCCCTCTGCTGCAGCCAGCCGGAGCAAAGCAGAGAGCCAGGAAACACAACCCAGGTCTCCCATGTGGGTGGCAGGAATTCAATTAGTTGAGCCCTCACTGCTGCCTCCCAGGGTCTACACTAGCAGGAAGCTGGAAACAGGAGCCAGGGCCAGGTATTCCAATACGGGGTACTGGTGTTTGCATTGCTAGCTAAATGCCCACTCCCCACAAACTTTTTGAAGTACCCTTAAAAACTTCTCTTTATGAAGTACCCAGCTTCAGGGTATTCTGCAGTAGCAACGAAAAATGGCATGAATACAACATCAGGAAACTGAAGTCATGAAAAATTGCAATTGTTTTTCTGGATGAAGTGTAGGAGAGACCCAACAATGGTGTTCCACATGTAGGAACGTTTTCATTACAAAGGAAAATCATAGGCTATTTTCAATTTGCACTGTGAATTCATCAAATTCCAAATTTTTAAAGTCAGAAATAGGTTGAAGCAGACCCTAGAGATATAAAGAACTTGCTAAGAGTCAAAGTCATTGCCATAAAAACTAAAATCTATTTCATGGGCTCAAAGTTCAGGTGGTCTGAAAGGCAAAGGAGGTATAACTAGATTTTCCTTCAAGAGTATTTTGACTGGTCCTGAGTGCTTTTTATGTCACCCAGGTTCTGTGTCCTTCTGACTTGCAAATGTTCTGGCAAACCACGGGAGCATTTTGGGCCGTGCTGGTTGCATTGCACAATTATTTTTCATGTTACAGATGTCTAATGGTTGGCCCTGAGGTACGTACTGATAGCGTGGAGGCCCGGGGAAGGAGCACTCCCTGTGTGCAGGTCTCTCTTCTTGGTCCCAGGGGCTGGGATAATTCAGAACAACCTTGTGCACGGGGTGCGGGCCTCTCACACTGGCTCCGAGCCAGGGCTGCCCAGGTCGAGCTGGCTGTATGGCTTGCTGGCAAGGTGCTCCAGGGCAGTGGTGGCCATCTGTGGGAAGACAACAAAGAGAGCGGGGAGGTTGCCTCTGGCTTTTTCACGTAGAACGAGAGGTACGCTCAGGACACCTTTTCTCTGGATGCTAACTGAGGGGCCCAGCTTTTTCTTTTTTCCAAAGATTTTATTTATTTATTTGAGAGGTAAAGAGTTACAGACAGTGAGAGGGAGAGACTGAGAGAAAGGTCTTCCATCCGCTGGTTCACTCTCCAAACAGCTACAATGCCCAGAGCTTTGCCGATTCAAAGCCAGGAGCCAGGAGCTTCTTCTGGATCTCCCACATGGGTGCAGGGGCCCAAGGACTTGGGCCATCTTTTACTGCTTTCCCCAGGCCATAGCAGAGAGCTGGACTGGAAGAGGAGCAGCTGGGACTAGAACCTGCGCCCCTATGGGATGCGGGTGCTGCAGGTAGAGGATTAACCTACCATGCCACAGTGCCGGCCACAGTGCAGGCCACAGCGCCGGCCCCGGGACCCAGCTTTCCTTGACCATCTCCATGATGTGTGCCAAACTTTTTTGTACTATTCCTTGAGCATTTTCATGAAATGAATTTATTTTTTCCTAAATAAAGACATGGGTGAAATCACAACACACACACACACACACACACACACACGCAATTTTTTCTTAGGAGCAAATAAATGCATGTGAACTTGGCTCATCCCTCTGGAAAGCAGCCAAGAGTTGGCAACCCCTTCGAGCTTCCTTGGTCCTCCCTTGCAAAAGTCCACATGCACTTGGGGCTAGGGAGGCTTAAAGAGGGCAGGGCTGGAGCAGAGCCAGGGCTGGCAGTGACTCATGTGAATGCGTAACATGAGAGAAAGTGGGTCCCAGCCAAGCCCGGGGACAGGAGAGTCCCAAGGGAAGATGGTCAGCCCACTTGACAGGCTGAGAGAACAGAACTCAGGGCCAGAAGAGAGATACCGGGAAGCCAGCAGGAGTGAGAGGGGAGGGCGCTGGCACCGAGGGAATCGCCCAGGCCCTAGGGGACCAGCGTGTTGAGAAATCGAAGTCCAAGGGGGTAGGTTGGGGCCAAGCGGGAAGCCCTGTAAACACTGCCACCTCTGCCCAAGTAAAACATGGTGATCCAGGAGGCGAAACTAGTTAGGACCAAAATGAACCTGGCTGTTTCAAAATAAAATTTCCTGGTCTTAGCCTCTTTGTTGATTGTAAAAGAAATCATCGGGGCTGGTGCTGTGGTGTAGTGGGTTGGGCCTCTACCTGCAGTGCCAGCATATCATATTGGTGCCGGTTCGAGTCCTAGCTCCTCCACTTCCAACCCAGCTCTCTACTTATGGCCTTGGAAAGCAGCAGAAGATGGCCGGAGTCCTTGGGCCCCTGCTCCAGCATGGGAGACCTGGAAGAAGCTCCTGGCTCCTGGCTTCAGATTGGCCCAGCTCCAACTGTTGCAGCCATTTGGAGAGTAAACCAGCGGATGGAAGATCTCTCTGCCCTCTCCCTCTCTCCTCCGTAACTCTGCCTCTCAAATAAATAAATAAATCTTAAAAATAAAGAATATTAGATTTTAAGAAAGTAAAACTGTCTCTCAACAAAAGGATAATAATCAAGTTTACTTTGCTACAGAAAAGCAATAAAAGCAAGAAAAATTGGCCAGCGAGGATGTACAGTGAAGTGAAATTGGCAAGTAAGCAAGAAAGCGCGAGAGGAAGGCTGTGGGAGGATGAGAATGTGGCCAGGAATTCTATTATCGATTTAGGCAGCAGTCAGAAGCCATCTAAGTTTTTGGGGGGAGGGGACATTCAGGGGAATGATGTCCTCTGGTTTAGAACAGAAGACACATACCAGGGTGGCTGCCTCCAGGTCCCCCTATCTGGACTCAGGAAACTTGGTTAAGTGACCCTGGCAATGTGCCCAAGCCAGTCTATCAAGCCTGGCCAGATTCGCTGAACTCCATCCATTGTCTGCTTTGACCGTGACACCAGCTGCATCCTGCCTGTCACGCTTCCTCTCCAGCAAGTCTCCACGCACCTCCAGCCCAGGCTGTCTCCTAGCTATGACCCATGACCCCTGCCCTGCTGTTGCTAAGGCCTGGTCATGACAGGAGCCGGGGTTCAAGGGGGAGGAGGGGAAGAGAAAAGCTTCAGCCTGGGCCCATCTCAGCACCTAACTGACAAAGGAGACCAGGACTAAGGGCACGGCTCTGAGAGTGTGGAGACAGGACCACCAGGACCAGTCCGGTCAGGGGCAAGAGGTACCACTCGAGCTAAGCGCAGGTTAGACGGATCCCAGGGGGTCCAGAGCACCTGCTGCAATTTCAAGGCAACAGGGCAGGTCAGTATTGCTGCTCCGACCAGAAAGGGCAAAAGCGCTGCTGTCATCAGGTCCCCAGGCAAGGGCCAGCCCTGCTTTTGGATGAGCCGCGCATGAGTGGACCATTTACAAATCCAGCTGTACACGTGAGGCTTACTTCAATAGTTCAGTGGGATTAAAAGATAAATTTATTCTGGTGCAAAACAGGTTGAAATCCATACATAATTTTCTCATATTTCCCATGAACTTTTTGAAGGTCTCTTGCACAGCCTTCTAGAGAGCTCCTATTGCATTAAAAAAAAAAAAAAAGATTTATTTTATTTATCTGAAAGGCAACGTCACCGAGAAAGAGGGAGAGACAGAGGTCTTCCATCCGCTGATTCACTCCCCAGATGGCTACAAAAGCCGGGGCTGGGCCAGGCCAAAGCCAGGAGCCAGGAGCTTCACCTGCTCACCCGCTTTGCTGCAGGGGCCCAAGCACTTGGGCCATGCTTCATTGCTTCCCTTTAGCAGGGAGCTGTAAAGGAAGTAGAACAGCTGGGAATTGAACTGGCGCCCAAATGGGATGCCAGTGTCACAGGGGGTGGCTTTATCTGCTATGCCACAGCACAGTCCTCCTATTGCACTTAAGACCCAGTCTGCTGGAGGCCGGCGCCATGGCAAAGCGGGTAAAGCCGCCGCCTGCAGTGCCGGCATCCCATATGGGTACTGGTTCGAGTCCCGGCTGCTCCGCTTCCAATCCAGCTCTTTGCTATGGCCCGGGAAAGCAGTAGAGTATGGCCCAAGTCCTTGGGCCCCTGCACCTGCATGAGAAACCTGGAAGAAGCTCCTGGCTCCTGGCTTTGCTTCAGTGCAGCTCTGGCCATTGTGGCCAACTGGGGAGTGAACCATTGGATGGAAGACCTCTCTCTCTCTGCCTCTCCTCTCTCTGTGTAACTCTGACCTTCAAATAAATAAATCTTAGGCCGGCGCCGTGGCTCACTAGGCTAATCCTCCGCCTGCGGCGCCGGCACACCGGGTTCTAGTCCCGGTTGCCCCTCTTCCAGGCCAGCTCTCTGCTGTGGCCAGGGAGTGCAGTGGAGGATGGCTCAAGTCTCTTGGGCTCTTGCACCCCATGGGAGACCAGGAGAAGCACCTGGCTCCTGCCATCGGATCAGTGCGGTGTGCCGGCTGCAGCGCGCCGGCCGCGGCGGCCATTGGAGGGTGAACCAACGGCAAAGGAAGACCTTTCTCTCTGTCTCTCTCTCTCTCTCACTGTCCACTCTGCCTGTCAAAAAAGAAAAAAATAAAATAAATAAATAAATCTTAAAAAAATTAGAAAGAAAAGACCCAGCCTGCCTGCGCAGGTCCCTGCCTGTCTTGATCTTGTCTCCTCCTACTGCGCTCTCCCTGGCTCCTCAATCCCAGCTTCATCCTGAGCCCCAGCTTGCTCCCACCGCTGGACCCCTGAATTTGCCATACCCTCTGCCCGGAATGTTTCTGCAAACTGACTTCTTGGCTTGTAGGGCTCAGCCCAAATATCACCTGCCCAAAGATGCCCGCCCACCCCTTGGGCCTGCTACCTAGTCCGGTCCCCTAGTTTCTCCCTCACTCATGCGTTTGTATCAGTAGCATGACCCTCAGCCAAGTTCTTGCTGGCCTTCCCTGCTGGGCTCTGTGGAAGGAGGGATCACATCTATTCCCCACCATTCTCCCAGCATGGAACAGCCACACCAGATGCTCCACAGACGAAGGAATGAGGACGGAACAGTCACAAAACCAACCACACACACAGGAGAAGGGAAGCCACTTAGGATGGTGCAGGGTGCTTGTCGGGTCCCAGGTGTCCTGGACGTCTACTTGTCACCCGACATCCATGGTGGGTGGGGGAGGGCATGTTACCACTGTGTCCCTCCAAAAGTAGGAGGTAAAAGAGGAGAAGCTTTGCCAGGGGCCTTGAAAGCTTTTGCAGTGGGGGTTGGGGGAAGGGGCGATGACCAGTAAGTCATGCAAATGAAGTTTTTAGTGTTTGGAGCCATTTTGCTTTCCATATCCATTAATGAGTGGCTAATAACAATTTATTTGCTTTAAAAGGACTACCAAGCTCTAATCATAGGGTTTGTTTCTCTTCCAGAGAGCGGATGTTAGTGCTGTTCATCAAAAGCCTTTGAATCAAGGTCAGATGATTTCGAACAGAGTATTTCCCGCAAACATGTTTTTGTCTCATAGCAACAAATCGTATCATTAAAATCATGAAAGCATGTGGGCTGAGTGTTTGATTAGCTGTAACTTTCATTTCTGAAATGGCCACCTGTGGTCAAGAGTTAGCTGGCTTCTGTGAGCAGATGACAATGATCCACCTCATTGATTTTTAAAATTAGGGTGCTGACCACACGGTGTTCCATGCTGTCCGCTTATTGCTTAAAACAAAGAAATACTGACTTACCAGAGGGGCCCTCAAAATCAAGCTTTTCCTTTTCTAAGTGGAATTTGGCTAGTTGGGTGGGAAAGTTGCTAATTAAAAACTGCTTATCAGGTAACTGAGGCTTTTCAATGCCCAGGTGTTAATCATTCTGACCCATTATTAGGGCTGAGCCTCACTAGTTCAGCTGGGTACTGTTTCATAATAATGGCTAACATTCATTAATCACTTGCCACCTGCCAAGCACTGTGCTATCTAAGTTTCTTATTCAGAATTATTGAGTTCAATGTTCTGTTTTCCTAAAAGAGATGTCTGATTCAGA